CCAGGATAACCGAAGTGCTGTGAGGCTCGTTTTGTTTGATAAATAATCCACTGCATGATAGCAGCAATTTTTCAAAAGCTTCATTTAATTTTCTTTAGTTGTAACTTATTAATGTTAGTAAAATGGCAAGGTGGTGAGTGTGATCTTATTTTCAAGAACTGTTTGCTGTGGCCTCCATTCCAGTGAGGCATTATTTTTATGATCATTTGTCCACTCCCTTGTTGTCTCTTTTCGGTTTTCTTGGGAAATTGAACTGGAACTGTAAAAATCTTTTTTTTTTTTTTAATTCCACTTTTAGTGTTAGAGATCTTATGGAAAGTGAATGAAGCATGTCTAATGAATTTCATAAAACATTCCAAGAAAGCTGTGTAAAATGTCCATCTTCAGGAAGGTTCTATCATGTATTCTTAACATCCACAAATAAGGCATGATTTAAAGGATTTGGGTGGTTTAGAGTACATATGAGTAGTGTGCTACTGAGTTCTTTTCTATACATTGTAATACCATTATCCTGGTTTATTGGCATAAGCCTAAGAATGGTGTGGGATGAGATGGTAGCTGAAGGAGTCTTGAGTCCTAAGAACAACTCTGGAATGCTGCCAGCCACTTAGCATCAGTGCCCTCCCTTGTTCTCACGTGTTGTTTTTAAGCCAATCAGCCATTGTCAAGCTTTCAGACTCAGAGCTTTTAAAACCTGGTACCAGGATATTGTAGTAGCAGGTGGGTGCTCAGAACAGAATAGCTTTGATTTTTAAGAGGGTCTGTCTTTGTAATGAGAGTCCCTTCTTTCCTTCTTATCCTATTGCTTCTATAAACCTGCTATAGAAAATAAAAGCCATGCCATTCTTAACATTCTGTCTGTAGAAAGAGGTGTAGGGTATTGTTGAGATTTTATATGTATGAATCAGCAATATATTAAATTCCCAGCCATTTAGGAACTGTATTACAAATTATAAAAAGACATATTTATACAAATTACTAAAGCTGAATGTAGCTAAATGTTTAACAAAATATATAAGAAGACATTTTGACAGGATTGCTTGTTAGAGTGGTGGTCTGTTTGGATAAATGTTTCTTAATTGGCTTTGTACGTGAATATTAGAGACATGCCCCACCCTAATGCAGTATGCATGCACATGTATACACTCAAACACACATCTCTCATTTTCACTGTACATACCACCCTGCTTGCCTGCCAATCTAGATGATTATGTTCTTAATTAAAAGAAAAGTAGAACTCCTTCAGGGATAATTCTGAAGCACCCACTCCTTATGTTACCTGTAACATTGGATGCTTCTTTACTGTTATTGGAAAAACATTTTTCTTGTAAAACACATTTCTGCAAATCACTCATACCAGTGGTATTCCTTATTTTTTCCTTTGCAACATTATATAGGTTATTCAGTGTGTAATAGTTTGTCTTCACATTGTATTATATTTCTTAAGGTAACTTCAACTCATGCCCCAAACACATAAAACAAGGAAGATCCAACTTTATTCGGGAGATGGCATTTTCTTTTCTTTTGTACCTTTTAGGCAGCCATACTTCAATATAGGAGAGATCGTCACAATCAGACTCCTTTATGAGAAATTCAGAGGTTTTAATGTCAGGATTTTTTTTTTTTTTTAAATTAGTTGTTAGCACTGTCAAGTAGATGAGTCCAGATTCTGAGGCCCACAAGTTTGCCCAGGTGGGTCTGTGGAACTGTTTGAATAGACAGCCATGGGGGATGAGCAGTGCCCCAGGTGGTTGCACTCAAAACAAAAGGCTTCCTGATTTGTGCTTTTCCACCCTAAGGAACAGTCACACAACTTTTCTGACATTCTAGTCTGTTAACAGGAGTGGGACTTTCACAGTCATCATCAAATGACCTGTCAATACTGACGTCTTGCCATCTCTTGTGCTGTTTTAAGATTGTTCTTTCTGAAACTAAGACTTATCAAAAATAATAATGCTAGTAGCTCTGCAGAAGAGAGGCTTTCTCCCATATTATCTCATTTTATCATCTGATGTAAGAGATAAGAGCAAGTACATGTTCTTCATTTGAAACTGTCTAAGTATGGAGGAATTATGATTTGCCCAAGGTCCTTCTAGGCTTATAGTCTGTCCTAGGTTTCATCTCCCAGTAGATCACCTTGTGGAGAAAGACTAGTCACCAGAAATAGAGAAATCAAGGGCTAAGGGTAAGAAAGGAAAATTAGCTTGGGTACCTAATTGATTCTAGTCAATGTGCTACTCTGGCTGGTTATGTCCTCCCCTACTCTTTCCACAGTGGCCAGGTGATAGATATGAAAGTAAAGGCTTATCCAGGATAGGTCTCATTGTGTTGGGTTATATGCAGAATATAGAAATGGTCTTGGGTTTAGTTCAAGACATTCTGTAAAGGCATTTTAAACACTGTTTGAAAGGATGGGGAGGTAACAGAAGACTAATGTGCTCAGAGAGAACTTGTTATGGTGGGTGAGACTTGTGTTGAGTCTGCCAGGCCAGCAAGAAGTAGGTAAGTGGAAAAGTGAGCCTAACACCCCATATGCACACAGAACAAAGCAGAGGAGAAAACCCTGAGTGAGCTTGGAGATGTTCAGCCAGAGCAGATGGAGCCTGCTGGGGAGGCTGCCGTGTACTGTGAGAGATTGGGCTGTGTCCACAGGAGGCTCTGAAAATGTGTGGGAGAGGCCTACATGGTCTTGAGAGTACAGCATCTGCCTCATCATCCCATTTTACAGAAAAAAGTTAAGATCCACAGAAGAAAAGGTCCTGCCTATTATCATAACCACAGTCACAATGCTGGGAAGGAACTCATTTCCAGTCCAGAGTTCTTGCTACCCACTCCTGTTCTGAAGCTTTTGGGGGTAGAAGTAGTAAAGTAAGCAATGAGTTCCTGTATTGTCTCAAAAAAGGCTCCCTGTTATTGAGTAAATGAGAGAGACACGCCCCATTCTATACTGTGGTTGCCTCTTGTTGCACATGATGCTGACAGTAGCTTCAGTGAGTCAGAGTGCCTGTGATGCATTGGGTGCCAGGAAGCTCTTCCTCTTCTTACTTTGCTTAGTTAGCCTTATTCAGAATTCAAGTCAGCTTCACTCAGTTCCTGTGAATACACCTGTACTCACCAATGATAGGTGTACAAAATGAAATGACACTGTTTCATGGTTTTAGATGCAACCACAGATGCAAAGGGGGCTCAGATATTACTTGACACTTTAGCTTGTATCTGGTAATTGCTGGGCACTGTGCAGTGTTCTGTTCTTATGTGGAAACATAGAGATTTGTAGTGTTATGCTCAGTATTCTGTAGGCGGGCCGCAGAGGCCCAGGTAGGTTCAGTAATGTGCTCAAGATTCTGCCTCTAGTATGTGGAGGGAACTGCTTTTCAAGCCCTTCATTTTTTGCTGCAACTTTTTTTTTTGATTTATCATACTGCTGCCATTAAGGTAACACAGCATAAAATAATTTATGTTGAAAATAATATATAGTTATTGTAGAAAAGTAGAAAATTTAAATAACTGAAGAAAATGGTTCCCATACAGATAGAGCGTTGTCTGAGTTAGTGCATCAGTGCAGATTTTCCAATACTTCTGTTTCTGCTCCATATATTCATTATGCTAGACTTTAGTCCTTTTAGTTTAATGTAAATGATGGGTTCGGCTGTGGCTCATGGTCATTTCCACAGCATCAGGGCATGGGGAGGCCTATTGAGGTGTAGGTTTCCTTTGGGTGCTCCCCTTGACTTGCTGTGTCCCTCCTGTGAACTGAGAAGTTCTCTACTATTCCTCCAGTTTTGATAAGTTTAAATTCTGTGGTTATTGATAATTTACTTCATCAATGCTTATGTAGACAAAGTCAGGGCAGATCTTTGTTCTTTCTTAGAAATGTTTGGTGGTTTTCTTGAGTAGATAAGAGCTACACTGTTTCTAACAGTCTGCAACCTATTGCCCAGAACTCTTGGGAGAGTGTTGTTCTCAATGCTTGGCTGTCTGAGCAGGGATGGTAAAAAGCTTGAGGCGCAGGCAAATCTGAAGTGTATGTATGGAGGGAAACTTGTGGTTCATGGAACATCAGGATGGGAGATACAGTTTGATAAAAGCTTGGCTGCTGCCCAGCAGGCCACAAACTCTCAAGGACAGGATAATTTGGCAATAGACAGTTCTTCAGGTGTTT